ATATTTGGAGTTGGGGCAATTTTCCCCATTTTCAGCTATATATTTCACTTAAGTTTAGTTTGCTTGAGAGAGTTAAGTGAGGAGAGTACGGTGCAAGCCGCAAGACGCAAGTTTGCCGAGAATCCTACGCCGCACGCACGGAGTACGCATACGAGAATCATACCGAATGCAGTTTAATCGAGCGATTGTCAGGGTATACTTCTATTGATCTTCCCTTTAAGTCAGTGAGATCATATTCGAGTTAATCGTTCGGTCATGCTCGTGAGTTAGCTTAGAAATTGTAATCGACCGTGTGTGTAGTCATATCAAGTATGTTCATGTTTTATTCAAAATCTTTCGAGCTATTGTCATGTATTTAGTCATTTCATGATTTGTCATGTTCAGTCAGCTTATATTGTTCGAAGTATTTTCATGTTTGTTCGGTGATTCGGCCAAAGGGCGTGGTCGCGCACGTAGCGCACACAATGGGCCGCGCGTGCTTAACAACTATTTTAAGTAAATGTTCTTCGAGCACTTCAAGTCAAATTATTCAATAATCAGTATTTCATATTTAGTTGTGTATTAATTGCTGAGAGAAAAGCAAGTTTGGTCGAGAGACGGCTTAACGCCGTAGGCGGCGCACGGTGCGCACGCCACGGCCGTGTTTAGCTTCTTGTGCAAAATTCATGTTTTTAAGTAATTTCAGCAAGTTTGATCATGTTAAGTTATTTCATGTTATTTCAAGTCATGTTGCTTGAGAGAAGCCGCCGGACGGCCGGCAAGGGCCGGTCGTTGCCGTGCTGCCCGCACGTAGCGGCAACATGGCGCCGACAGTCAGCCAGTACGAACTGACAGGTTGCGCGCATACCCGCGTGATACGGAAGTGGGTATGGACCCCCGAAGATGAGAAAGGCCGAGGGCCGAGGCTAATGGACAATGCCAAGCAAAGGGCACAAACAAGGCTTGCATGGCCTAGGAGACGTGCACGAGCACGTATACGAGGATGCCGACGTGCACAATGGCATAGGAGGTCGAGCAAGAAGCTCAAGAGTTTGAGGCTGGAAGGCTCGAGCGACGCGGCCGAATGGCGCAAGGTGTGTGCGAGGAAGCGACGCGCACGACGCTTGGAGGCTAAGGTCTCGGGTGTTTACATTACGGAAGAGATAAGTGGTGCACCAGGGGTGGATGTTGGGTGGACATCGCGCATATGGGATGGCCGCGAGCAGGCGAGCATACGAACGGTAACATGCGCAAGAGCGTACGAGAAGATGATCTCGGGACGGGCAATAATCGAGCGCAAGGAAGGAAGCGAATACGCGCATTGGCGTAGACGTGCACGGGCGAGACCACGCCTCGAAAGGAAGCACTATTAGAGGTTTTTGGATGCTTATAGAAGGGTTAGAACTTGGTGGGGATGGCTAAGGAACCAGGTGGCTTGAAGGAACGGAGGGCACGCGAGTTGGGTGCCCAACGGGTACAGCCCGCGCACATGGGCGCGCTGGCAGCGTGATGAAGACCGTGTGTCTCGATTGCCGACAAGCCGCTCCCGCGCCTTAAATCGTTCGATAGGTGTTAGGAAGTCGCACACTCGCAGCATTTCTAACGAATAAAGTTTCAAAAGAATTCAAGGAGAAAACTAGAGTAAAGAGTTTGAACAAAAGTTCGGATTTTTGTACTAATTTCTGAATGATTAAATTAACAAGAGGAAGGGCCTTTATATAGGCATCAACTAGATCTAGTCCTAATATAACTATAACTCTATAAAGCAATAAAATATTAAGTATCCTAAACAAACTAGAAAACAAGGAAATAAAATATTAATCAAGCTATTTAATTTATTTCTTGCTTGCTCCCCAAACCGCCTTGCCCGTGTCCGCGTTGCCCAATCCTCGTGCGCCTAGGTAAGTATGCGCATGCACCTCGTCGCCTGCACGTTCAAACCCGCATCCGTCCCTGATAGTGTCGCGCGCGTCGTCTCCCGTGCATGCGCGTCCGTCCGTATATCGCACCTCGCTGGTACGGCGACTTAACCTCCTTCGCGCATGCCACGCGCGACTTGCTGCATTTTTTAGTCTTCTCGCCGTGTCCGCATCATTCCCGTCCCCTTCAAGTGCTTCCTTGTCCTCAAGCAAGAAATCGGGGAACATCTCGCGCATCTCGTCCCAACTTTGCCATGTCGCTTCCTCACTCGGTAAGTCTTCCCATTCGACAAGCACCTCCCAAAAATATTTTTCAGCCTTTTTGACCTGCCGGTACTCCATCGCACGGCTTGGTCGCACCATAACCTGCCCGTCCGGCACGACCGCGGGTAGACGATCCTTTGTCGTATGCATCTCGCCGAGTCGTTGCTTGAGCTGTGAGACGTGTATGACCGGATGGATATGGGAATCGTCCGGCAAGTCAAGTCGATAAGCAACCTTCCCAACCTTGGCCAAAATTTTATACGGCCCGTAATATCGAACTCCGAGTTTGGTCGCGGCCCTTTGCGCGGCCGTCCTTTGCCGAAACGGCCTCAACTTCAATATACCCAATCCCCGGGCTCAAACTCTACATCGCGCCGCTTGCCATCATGGTACGCCTTCATCCTATTGATCGAGCCCTCCAACGTCCGCTTTAGCTCGCGCAACATTAAGTCGCGCTCGACCAACTCTCGATCGACCTCATCGTTCACGGTGCTCCCCATCGAGTAACTCACGATCGTCGGCGGTTTGCGCCCGTACACCAACTCGAACGGCGTTGCCTTAGTCGAGCTATGGTAAGTGGTGTTATACCAATACTCGGCCCAAGGTAGATAATTCTCCCATCGCTTTGGAAATTGATGCACATAACACCTAAGGTACTGCTCGAGCGTGCGATTAGTCACCTCCGTCTGTCCGTCGGTTTGTGGATGATAAGACTAGTTCATGTTTAGCTCGGTTCCCTGTAATTTAAAGAACTCCGACCAGAAACTACTCATAAATATCCGATCTCGGTCGGACACAATCGACCGTGGTACCCCATGCAACTTCATCACATATTCAACAAACAATTTTGCTATAGACTTAGCCGTGTAGGGATGAGTAAGTGGAATAAAATGTGCATACTTGGTAAGGCGGTCGACTACCACCATGACTCCATTGAACCCATTCGAGAGTGGCAACCCCTCGATAAACTCCATGGTGATGTCCTCCCAAATACGTGCGGGAACCGGTAATGGTTGAAGTAGTTCGCCCGGTCGACGCGCGTCCGCCTTAGTGCGTTGGCACTCATCGCATCGCCCAACGTAGTCGCGCACATCGCCCCTCAGTCCCGGCCAATAAAAAGTGCTCGCAATCCTCATCCATGTCTGGAAAACCCCCGAATGTCCTCCAAACTTCGA